TTCTGCACAGACTTTGGCAAAATCAAAGCCAAGACACTCTGCATCCGATCTTTATCCCAAACCAAAATGCTTGCCCCAGGTTTGATCCTGAAGTAGCCCACCACGATCAGAGGGAGTAGCCGGGGCCAAACACAACACTGCAACATACTGAAAGTGTTTTTTATACATCTTTAAAAGTCTATGTGTGCATGTTTAAGTGAAAGTTTAATAATTACTCAGGCCTAAAGCCAGAATTGTAATTCTTGAAGCAAAGCTTTTAAAAGGTGGCGTAATAATTGACACAACTCACATAGGGCTTATGTAGAATTTATCAGTGTAATTTCTATTTGTCCATCTGCACACAATCCGCTTTTTGTGATCACCTTAATACATGGGCAGCACACACACGCATGCACACACACACATTCCTCTTATGTTACAGGCTTTGAAGAGGCAGACTCATCCCCATTTTCAACAGTACCCAATCAAACACAAAGCTGAGGGGAGGATTAGGAGAAGGCTTGTGCTGCAAAATGCTCCTATCAGGGACCACACTGGTTTTAAATTACCCCCTACTCCTCATTCATTTTCAATCACTCACTGGCCCAATAAAGTTTGTTTCTCCAATAAAAAAGACCAACAAAGGAACACTGAATCCCAGTTTTGTGCAACAGCAGTCCCTTACAATCCTTGACACTGTGTGTTTAGGTCTGGAATCACGGATGTGATTGGCCCATTTGTGGTTTAAAAGATTGGATGAGTTCAAAGTGAAAAGAAGACATTTCCTTTGCAGGAATGAAATATGCTTTTTTATTTATTTATTTTTTTGTTAAATGGAAAGATGGAGAGATTGAAGGATGACAGATGTGCGAGCAGAGGTGCGGTCATTGTCACGCATGTTGTCAGTTCTAGAGGGAGTGGTGTCTCTTTAGACGACAGCTGGTTTCACTCAGAGAAAAGACATGCAGCAGAGGGAGAGAAAGAGAGAGAGAGAAACAGATCAGACCTTCACCACTGAATATTTATGATCTTGGTGCACAAAGATTTCTCGCCACATTTTTTGCGGTTTTCAAGGGGGTTAGTACTTGGTGACCCACACACACTTTCAAACTCCCAGACAAGCATACATGAGTGTTCGCAGATACATTCAGAAATTCACACATGCATTCACTGTCTCTGAGGGGAGAGAGATGGGGGGGGGGGGGGAAAAAAAAAAGGAAATAAAACAGAGATGATTAGAATGGAAAGTCATGAATGTGGCAAAAAGTAAAAGTAGTACATTAGGAAAAAAAGATTTACGAAACAGACACACGCACACACACACACACAACACACACAGATCCTATGTTGGAAAATGCCGTTGTTGAGCTTTGAAGCACGGTGGTAATGAGGCTCCATTTAAAGCCAATGAAGCCGCTTTGGCAGCTTATGAAAGCATGACTGGTAAGCCACCCCCCCCTTGTCTGCCGCTGGGTGGTGTGTGTTTGTGTGGATGTGTGTGTGTGTGTGTGTGTGTGTGCATGTGTGTGTCAGATAGGAGGCGGAGGGGGTGGGCTGGGGGCGGTGGACAGTATTTGGCCGGATCCACTTTGCTCTTTTCCAGCACTTTAAACAGCAGCTCTCTCTCAGACCAGTCACTCTCACATTCCTGTTGGTTTCCTAAAAAACACCTGGAAAGTTACAGGGACATCAACTGATATAACTATGTCTTTATCAATTTCATTATGATCCACTGAGGGGCCTTCCAACCTACACACAGCACCTTACCAGTAAATATACATTTATCAAAGTGGAAAAAGGGGTAGACTGGTTGCTGATTTTGACATACTGGTGCAGAGGCATACTCCCAACCAAAACAGTGAGTAGCCTGTCTTCTATATATATATATGCTATGATACATTTAGTGTGGAAGAAGAATGTTAAGGGATGGAAATGTGGCCTCCTGGCTTGAGACTTTGGGGATGGAAAGACTGGCCCAGGTTCAAAAGTTCACAACATGTGTGGCTAAAGATAGTGCCACAGGAGAGGACACGTACATGATGATCTGCTATCTGAAGATCATCACTTAAGAAAAATAGCTACACTGCCACGTCTGAGAAAGGCAACTGTATTTACACTACTGTAAATTAATCATATGAAATATAGCTGGAATATATACTTTGTGTTGGCACAGCCTTGAGCCTCCTCGACCACTACGGAGCAGAATGAAAAACCGAAATCCCTGAGGTGTTCCCTTTTAACTATCCCACCAATCAACCAAAGGACCGCATTGTGTCAAGCCCGGAGCACAAACGCATAAAGAAAAGTTAAGTGATGCTGTTAAAATAGTGTTATCTCTTGTTACACTTCAATAACTCTGGTAGCAGCCTGAACCTTCATGTCTCCCGGAGAGTTACGTTCTCATGAATTTCTCCATCCTAAAGTCTGAAAACTCAAGGGACAGCTAGACATACAGTTATGGTGGGAATGAGTGTTGAAACAAGCCAGGTGATGTAGAGGAGTTCCTGCAGGGGTTTTGTCACACTTTGACATGGGTGACTGCTGTGTTGTGGCTATACTGACCACATTTTTTTCTTTTACCTGAGTTTGAGGCCACGGGCTTGGCTTCAGTAGGTTGACTGTGGGCTTGGGATTTCCCATGCCTGAGAACATCTTGAAGTGACAAAGGGCATCATTTGCCATTTGATTTCGTCCAATATCTCAATCCTGTCAGAAGCAGTGAAGGAGAAAGACAGAGAAACAGAGGAGGAGATGGGAAGAGACAGAGCCGGGTCTCTGATGGCTCAAATACTCACAGATTTCAATCGGTCTTGCAATCATCATCAAGGGGAGTGGAATCTCACTTAGACTGAGCCCTGAGGTTGACTCAGTTCCTGTAGCTGAACCTCTCACAGGACCATAAATCTGGATTTCCACTGTCAATTTGGTTGTAGGCCATTTAAACTGTTTCGGTGTAATGGGAACTGGACAGCAATGGCAAGCTGATGGGAGGCCAGGATGTCTAGGATGGATGTGCTTGATGCAGAGACATATGTCATGCTGTGTGTGTGTGTGTGTGTGTGTGTGTCTGTGTGTGTCTGTGTGTGTGTCCAGACAATCTCAGCAACCTCTATTCTCAAAGCCTTGATGGCCATGCCTGGGGAGAGTGATGATAAATGGTCGCTTTCCTGTAATTTACCTTCAGGAGGATGGATGGAGCTGGCCTGTTTGGTTAGAGGGTGGGAGACGAGGAGAGAGGAGACTGTAGGTGAGAGGGGGGCGGGGGAGTTGGGGAAAAAGAGAGAGAGAGAGTAAGGAGTTTCCTGCTTTGGACCTGACTCTGGGGTTGGGTTTCCTCAGAGGTGAGGTACATATTCAAGTGTGTGTGCCTCACTGTTTATTTACTGAGCTTTAGCTCTTGCTCTGTTCATAGAGGAGAGGAGCCGATATACCCAGTAACCCCCCCACCCCCCAAACCCCAGTCCAGCCCCAGTGAGTGGAAACACACCACAGCAGTGCCCACCGCATGTGAGCATACTTTCCAATAAGAAACACACACATATCAATTTGATATCATTTCCGCAGCTCAGGCTAATGACTGCTATTAGAGAGACAGATGATCAACACAACACACAGCTCATTAACTAATAATTTATTTTTTTATCATTTAGATTAAAAAGTCAGTGGTTCATTGCCTCAGAAGAAAATGTACAAGGAAGACTCTGATATAACAGAAGTGAAGAGCAGGACTGAACTGAGGGAGGACTTTGCTCCCAAAGAAAGGTAGGAGGACAGTTTTCGTGAGTGAACCATTATTCCCAGGGCATTCATGTAACAGAAAGTGGTGGGTTGTTGTGTCAGTTCCCGTCTGTACCTCTATGGGGAAAGCAGAGGGTCCAATCAGCCCATGTCACATTTTTTTACTCGATTCTCCTCAAAGTCATTTATAATTGGGCGGCTGTTGTCTGGAAACAACATAAAACCAAAAGAAATACATTCTGTGTAATATCTGAACCACATCTTCTGGTCGTGATCACAAAAGCATATGTTTCTGGTTTCTACATCCATATAACTTCATCTGGTTTGTACATCCATACACGTGAGCCATCCCAGGCCAAGTTAGGCTTTACAAAAAGACAACATAAATGGCAGAGGCAGTTCAGTACATATTTACAACATTAAAAATGTGTCAAGACTTATTAAACAAGGCAAAGGTGTAGATGGAAGTGAAACAGAAAAAAAACATGGGAATCAGACCAGGAAAATGTAAATGATAATTCTTTATCATGGACTCTCCCCTGAAAGCTTTGCCCTTCAGTTGAGAGCTCTCTCACCTCTCTGCTCGTTCAGTTCATGTGCATATCACTTGTTTACTCGGGGAGGTTAATTAGACACACACACCTGTGGATGCTATAAACGCTGCAAAGGGGGGAAACAAAGCAAAGCAGTTATGGCCTCAGTTCCACTGCCAAGCTGCCGGGCTTGTTAACGTAAAACAACAGGACGGCTCTCCCTATGAGGCTCACTAAATAGCTTTCACAAGAGTACGCTTCCACCCCCAAAACAACATCTGGCTCACTCTTACTTCTTATCTTTATTCCAACATTCAGGGTGGGCACTCAAGACAAGGAAACAGAGGGCCAATAGGAAGTGAAGAAGGCTTTTGTGCGTTTCCATGTGAAAGAAAGTCCAGATTCATTCAAGGACACTATATACTATACTCACTTCCTCCATAAGTGTGTTGGACGCTTTAGGAGTTGAACACCAGAGAGGCCTCGTGGGCACGTAATTTGACCATCCATCATAATGTGTCACGCCATACTCGCATACCAGGCCGAGGAGACTGGTGCTACTGACACCACCTGTCTGACAGGCCACCGTCGACAGCCAGCACACAAATAATTGACTGTTTGGTTCTGCATTTTTTTTGAAATTCCATTGGTGGGAATTGTGCCCCGGGCACAGAGCTGTCAAAATTTCAACGCTTTTTTTTTTGGTCCTTTTTTTTGCTTTTTTTTTTTTTTTTGTCACACTCCAGAAATCATGGTGGGTGATAACTCGTTTTGGTTACGGGTTGTTTTTGGACTTATTAACATCATCATAAGACAGACAGATAAGCATGAAGTCCCACGATCATTTGAACAAAATCTAACTCTGTTCATAGTCTCTAATAGCATCAACTGTCATGGCGTCCACATTCTTAGGCTTGGTGACATTATTTCATAAACACTTACAATCAGACCATACACTTGTGTGAGTGTGTTCTTCACAGTTTGACATACATTCTCGTAAGACGTGAAAACAAGAACTACAGTGCAGTACAGTACACCACTGAGGGGTTTTGGCAGCCTCGTTCTGTGCTGTCACTTATCTAAGACACTGAATACAAAACATGCAAGATGGGTTAAAAAAGGGAGTTTGAGGAGGGTGGTGGCTGACACAGAGAAGAGAGCAAAGGAGAGACACTTTTGGAGAAATGACAAACCAAACATACTGCTGCAACCAAAGGAGCGTAACCACTAGCTAGCATGACATGCCCGTCGGCACACTCACTGCTACGCTTGCTTGATGTGCCCCTCAAAACTGTGTGTTTATCTTGTACTCTATTTAAATAAATTGTAATGTGCTTTACAGGCAGATAAAAAGCTTGAGAGCCACCAGACGGGTCTCTCTGTGGTTTTCGTTGGTCCCGACGTTCATAGTCTCTTAATTGAATTTAAAAACTGACTATGCTTATTTGGCACAGGATGACAGGGACTGCGTTTGGGTAAGCAAGTTGAGGAAGATGACTTGGGATGTTTTCCTTTGTATCTCAACGATCATATTGGTTTAGTTCTTGCTCTGCTAACTGTAAGGTTTGATGGACCAGCAAAAACCACAAACATGCAAACATAACAAAGCACATGAGGAATGAAATATGATCCTCTCATGTCATAATACAATCAGTGAGCAGTAAAAACTTTCCAGCCTCATTCATTTTGTCAAAATATACTAGAGGAAAACACGACCATGTTGTTTATCTGGCTTTGTTTTCTTTTTACTGCATGAAAAGGAACTCGCGTTTCAATCTCTTATATTGGCAAACAAAAGCCTGCCAGTCACTAGACACATCAGAAAAATGTTCAGACATTTAAAGACAAAGAAATGACAGTGGCCACACAGCAACATCTGGAAGGCCACTACCCAGCGGAAGACATTACCCATAAAGCAAAAAGTCTCCTTGGAAATATTGGTATTGTTCTGAAATTCCAGCCATTTGTCCACACCGCTTAATCTTTCTTCCAGAAAAAGTGACAAGCAATGAGTCATGATGGTGATGCATGACTTTATAAACCACTCATGAGAGGGACTAGACGCACAGCTCTAGAGGCCTGGAATGTGACTCACACATGCCAGCAGGCTTTGTTCAGCATAAATGAAACAACAGCATACACAGTATCTGAAATAAGGATATGGATGAGATATGGATGGATGAGATAACAAATAACCACATGAAGAATATGAACTCTATTACGAGCAGTGGCATCAAATACTTGATATAAGAGCCTACACGATCAGTTTATTCTGTGAGGGCTGTCTGGTGGCAGCAGCAGTGGTGGTGAGACTGAGGTTTGCTGTGGAAAATGTCCCTGCAAAGGGAGCCCTTGGTTCCTCACAGGACAAGAGTTTTTTTTTTTTTTTTTGTTTGTTTTTTTTTTTTTTTTTTCAGTTACTGTCTGTAGAAGTTACTGCAAAGACCTGGAGCAAGTAGGCCCATTTTAATGAACATTTTAACAGCAAATGTTGAAAGGTTGTCAGGTGCACCAGCTTGTGCTGATCCAAGTTGAGTTTGTTTCAACAATGAAACGTGAGGAAGCCAAGCTGAGGGTGTGCAGCTCGTCTTGTTGCTGATATTAGTCAGTCTCTGAAGTGACAAACACTGTTGAATAAAATCCTCAGACGTGAAGATGTGAAGTGTGAGCACTGCTAGTCTTATATGTGAGTACTGAAACGAAGTGGCAGGAGACAGTCTTGTCAGGAGGACGACACTGGGAGTCGGGGGATTGTAGTTGAGGGACGAGTGGACATTACCGCTGTCGTCGTTGAAGAAGGGAATGGCGTCTGCTTTTGTCTACACTTCATACCCTTTTTAATGGTCCCTTTTTAAGGCAAACCAATGGACAAAAAGACAAGTGACGTAACAAAGACAAAACTTGAAAAATAAAAAGGAAAATAATTATACAATATACACAAAATGTGGTCCTTAAAACAGGGAGGGTACATGCAGTCTTTGTAATGCGCAGTGTTCCTGTGATGGGGAGGAGGAAGGATTCAGGGGAAGGAGGGGGAGTTCACTGGGTCAGGGTTCATGAAGGTGGGTGATGGGGAGGGGGGGGGGGGGGACGCTGCTTTCCCATCACGCTTTGCTGCACTTCCCCTTCTTCTCTTTGCGCTGGAACTTTCTCAGACGTCTCGTCCAAACGTCCCTCCACTGGATCACCAGGCTGTTCTTATCAGCCACCAGGCCCACACGCTCCGCCCCTGGACTGGTGGCTCCACCCCCGGGCCCGACCCCTGGACCCGCCCCCGTGCCCGTTCCACCGTCACTGCCGCCCATCACCAAGAATCGTTTGCTCATCTGGATCTTGGGACATTTGCAGGCTAGGTCCTTCATGTGCACCCACAGGATGTTGTCACCTCGCTTCAAAGGCTCGCCGCGGCTCTTGTACACAGACACCACGCTAACAGAGAACTTGGCCCAGTCCCCCACCGTCTCCATGTCCAGAACGTTCACTTGGACCGCTGGGAAAACATTCATAAAAAAAATACACTCAGGTCAATACTCCCAATACTGTATACTTATTCATTATGGTTTAGAAATTCTTCTCTCTTACCATAATCTTTCTTGCAATATTTCTTCATGTTGATCTTCAGGTTGCCCTTCACTGGTTTACAATAGGATTCACAATCTGCAAAAACAAGGACAACCAACATTCGTTCCTTTAATGCCGAGGCTGGAACTCTGGAGCTTTTTAACAACACTTACTGACACTCAAATTACACACATAATGGGACACTTACACACTTGAAATTTGAATCGTTTTTATACGCTTGTATTTTAAGACTATTTCACACCAAATCATAGTGTATTATGTGGTGCTCTTGTAGAACTTAAACACAGAGCAGTGCATCTGTAATGCAAAGTTAGTGTGACTTACTGGGAAGTGTTATGTACTGTGAAACCACCACTAAACAACTCAACAGCATCAACATAAATCACCATGTATCTGTACCATGTTTCTGCACATGCAGGCCGAGGTTGTTATACAGTATATGAACACATGAACATGTATGTAATAAGCTTTGTCTACTTTTTTGGTTTATATTTGTAGGTGTATTATTTTATAACCTTGCAGTGAGTATGCCCAATTTCACGTTTATCCTCACAATAATATATATTCACTGACAGGGCCAAAGGCACAGTAGGGGATCTGGAGCAGGTTGGATAACGTTGAGCTTGGTTTGGATTTTCTGTGCTAAAATACAACTTCTGACAAATCACACATCAAACCCCTGCAAGAGCCAGTGTTGGGAAGCAAGTGAAACATACCAGAAGAGTTAAAGTGTTCAGTTTGACATGTTTTCGGCTGTGTTGAGAAAAGACAGAGCGTTGTGGAAGCAGGTCATGGTTGGATGGATGTGAATAGGCCTTGGCTGCCAGCTTGACGACTGAGACCACACATTGGACCGATGACCTCCACTGACAATTCGTAGGTGGAGCTGCCAGTGATGAGGTGTTACAATTATGATTGCGACAGTTAAAATGGACCTCTCAGCTGAGTGATCAATCTCAGATCTCTTTTTGAGTGACTCTAAGACCTGCCTTGGTTCGGTTTATACTCGTCAAGTAACTACAAGCATCTCTTTCAAGACGGCCTTTCTTCACACAGATTTGGGCCAAAAAGTGAGCCTGCTGCGCTGGAAACTATTCTGCCCTGAATTTCCCAGTCTAGGATTTGAAGCAATTACATCCTCTCCAGACTGTATGGCTCAAAGTTTACCTGCAACCTGGGTAAAAAATGACAATAACAATAACAGCTGAATTCATTTTAAACTAGATGTTGATACAAAATGGAACTGACTGTCATTCAGACGTAGAACCCTTTGAAAGGCAGGAGAGCACATGCATGTGATTATTTCTCCCGGTTTGCTTCCTCATGATGGTGAAATATTTATTTTGTCATCTCAACATTAAAAAAAAGCTTTCCGTCTCTGTGATCATGAAATATGTTTTCCATGAGCTGAGGGCAGAGGGAACGGGCAGCAAAGAAGACACGCAAAATTAAATAGATTTTCAAAAACAGATGAAAGTGCTCATCTATGACAAGAATCCTTGATAAAATTTAAAGCATTGCATTGTGTTTTGAAATCGTCCTCATGGTAACTGCTACTGCTCAGAGCCGCTGTTGATCATTAGTGAGGCTCTACTGTACTTGACTGGATTCCACTGGATTTTATGAACTGTGCAATTTTGGATCCACTTATTTCAATTACGAAACTATGAGAAGGAGACACAGTCAAGAAAAAACTATGAAACTGATGGAGTGAAATTGTAAGGAATGCCATGAAGGTCGTTTTCCAATATAGTTTTACTCTGTTTTAGTCAGGGGACACGAGAAGCTGACCATGCTGCCCGCTTGGAATGTCAGGGCGTGAAACTGAAAAACCACATGCTGGTAACTGGACTGGTATCTGCGGTCAGGCCTCTCATTGCCTTCAAAAGGAAAACCATTCAGTCACTTTGCTTTCCAAAGCAAACCAAATAAATTGCTGGACATGAAACATCCCAATTATATAAAAAAAAATAAAAAATGGTCGTGAGAGAGAGAAATTAAGCGTTCTGGGTTGCATGAGAGTAGGGGTGTTGCATCGTTCATTTTTTGGGGAAGGACGGATGGAGCAGTGGAATGAGTGCAGGAGGACGAAACAGGGGTCCAAAGAGCCCATAAAAATGTCCAGGAGGCTTGGCTGTATATCAGAGCACTGGAGATTTTATTAGCGAGAGAGAGGAGAGAAGAGAAAAGAAAGAAAGGGAGAAAGAGAGCGAGAGCAGACGGCAGCTTCCAATAACCTCGAGACAGGGTGACGTTAAAATAATGATGAGTGGAGGTGTAGATGTGGACGGGTGAGGAGGTGTGCGTGTGGATGGATGCGAGTGTGTGTGTGTGTGTGTGTGTGTGTGTGTATTGTACATTATTCACTTTAAATAAATGATGTTAAATATCATAGCTCGCTAAAGGTCTTTTTCATTATAAGTGAGCGTGTGGTTTCATGTGCAGATCATTATCATGTAAGTGTGCATGCAACTGTGACAGGCATGCATTTGTATGAGATGTGTATGGATTTCATTAGATCACTGCCAGTGTGTGTGCGTGCGTGTGTGTGCGCGCGGTATACAGTGGCCGGCCTGGAGGTATCAGTGGTGAAACGCTGTGTGTGTTTTCAGCGTGTGTTTTCCCATGAACAGTCACTTACTGCTGGCTGTTCACCTGGAAAAGCTCTCGGTGAATCGGCCACTGACCCAGAAGACCGGCCCTCTGAAACCACGCACAATTGGCTCCGGGGCTCTCGATGCCCTCGTTCCCCTGAGCCCCTTTCACTGTGCCATGACAAGGACAAATTGCATCCACCGCCCCTTACACAAAAACATTTCGGGGCCTTAGGTTTCTGATGGTGACGCTCGTTCTATGGTAGTTTAGGAAGGAGAAAGATGGGGGGAAATGCTCTGGTCTGTTTAGTAAAGCCTGAGGTGACTTGGCGATCAACGACTCTTGTGTTCTTAGACCCTGTAACATTTTCCCAGGGAAGTATTAAACACAAGAATGGGTTGGACTGTGCATTTTTGTTTTTTTGCCTTTTTTTTCCAAAAAAGACTCAAAGGCCCGAGTAATGAGAGGAAAATAGAGGAAACAGAATGAGAAGAAGTCACAAATGAGGAAAGAATCTGCATACACAAGAAAATTATGAGTATCAATTAAACTTTTAGGAATAGCCAATTAAGACATTCTGTTATGGCTATATGTTATGGAAACACTGTACTAATACTACTATAATGTAGTTTAGTGCAGGTATAAGGACAAATTAAAGTGCTTTATGAGCTACAGCATTTATTACCTCTCCATTGAAGACATTTCATATTAGTGCAACTGTGCTTTACAATATTGTCATTCATGATCTGTTTACAGAAGCGTCCACAAGAGGAGTCATTAACAAATTTGATTCTGGAGCTAGCAGCTGGTTAGCTTAGCAGCTAGCCTGGCTCTGTCCAAAGCTAACAGAATCTATCTACAGGCACCTCTAACGCTCACTACATTTGATGTTATATCTCGTTTGTTTAATCTGTACAGTGACGAGATGTGGTTTTATGTGGTGGACTATTTCTTGGCCTATATCTGTTTTCAGGCTTTGTGCTGAGCCAACCAATTAGCTTAGCGTAGCTATATTCACCGTACAGCCATGAGAGTTGTATCAATCTTCTCATCTAACTGCCAGAAAGCAAATAATGTAAACCCATTTGTTTCATTTTATACCATTAGATTTTTTCTGCAGTGTTCATTGACTGTTTGACTAAGTTTGACCATCAACTTACCCCAAACTATCAGCCATTATAAACATTTTTAATCCTAAAACTGTACTGTAAATCAAAAGTCTAATTTACAGTGAGCTTTCTGCCAAATTTGTAGATATAAAAACAATAAAACTCTATGCTTTAAATAGTGCAGTAAAGTAGGAGGGACAAAGTTGGGGGTGTAATCTGCAGCCTGAGTGATGATAAATGTTATAAACCTACTAATGAATCAACATTTCCAATTCAACACCGCCATTCAAATCAAACAGCCGCAGAATGAAAAATAAGGGCAGGGTAATTGACCGGAGCCTAAATTGGAGAGTTAGAGGGAGAGACTGAACAAATTTCCCCCCAGTCACTTGCCAGCACTCTTTTCACGCCTCAAAACTCTCCCCTCCACTATATCTCCCAGCTAAACTGTAACTAATCACCTCTGCTGCCTATCTCCTGGCCTTGGCTTTAAGCTACAGCTATACTTCGAACACAGTGAGGCTCCACTAACTTGAGGCTAGCAGGGAAACTGTGCCAAGGACACAGGTTTTTAAGACAATGGAAAAATTCTGCTGGCCCCAGTGCACTCGTTCTCTTTGCAGAACTTCAAAAGAGGGGGACCCACCCTCCATTAATATTTATTCCACACCTTAAAACTCAAGTCCAGAAATATTAAAAAAGATGTTTTTGTTCCTCTCATAAAGCAATGGTGCTTATGGGTGAGGTTCAGAGATCGTATACTAACCTGCTGGTTCCTCTGTGCTGCTCACCACAGCTGTGGGGTTGACCACTGGGATTTCTGAAACACACACAAGAAATACAAAGTTATTTCACTGGTTAAATGTAAATCCATACCTTTCAAGTACGGCCTAAGTGATTCGGCTGTGTTCCTGCCAAGAGTGCATGTGTGGTCAAAGAAATGAAGTGTGTCTGAATTCATTAAAAGTATTCAATTCAAAGACTGCTTATATTTGTGTATTAACATACCCACAACAAAATACAGAGGGTAAGCTTAGTATTGAGGAGAAGTAGGCCAATAAGAAAAAATACCGGGGTTGTGAAATGGTAGGTTTGGATTGTGACATGTCAAATACGCACATGAAAACATATGGAGCATTGCAGACAGACATGCTAGATAAACACTGACAGAGTGACAGGGATACTTATTGGTGGTGAGAGGGAAGGCAGGCTCGAATAAATCATATGTTCTACGGACTAATGTGGTGGTTTCACTGTTATTTTGGAGGAATACATTGTGAAAGATCCTGAGACGGTGTAAATGTCAGACTAAGTAGATGCACCACAAACACGCGAGGTGTAAACAATCCAGTTTAGATAAGTTGATCCAGTCAAAGTTGGCACACTTGATACATCTGAGACAGAAGTTGATTCTTTTGAGGCCCACTGATTGAAATGGAAAGGTGGCTGCACTAGATTAGTCTCGTCCTCCCATAACAGATGCTAGGTTAACACTGCTGTGTAATCTCCATGCAAGCATGTATAGACAGATGGACAGATGGCAAGGGGGCAATTTTGGTTGGATCGTCTTAAGACAGATGCAGCCCTCCCTCACTGCGCCCGCTGGCTACACTAAAAAGTGCCTCATGGAATTCCTCCAGGACTGCTCTTCTAATCGTATGCAACTTTCCAATACAAATGCTAATGCTAACAACAGGCCCTCTGCTTTTACCGTAAACAGAGTCACTGGAACGCCGGCTTAGCATCCACCCAGAGGATCTGCTTTTGATTGGATTTGGAGATTGAGGGTTTGAACCAAGCGAGTGGGAGTGTGTTGGCAGGAGGTGGGAGGGGTTCTTGGAAAGCTGTTTTGAGGCAAAAGCAGCAGTTGTCTCTCTGAAATTATGGACACCCCGCCAAGAAAAACAAACAAGGGCACGGAGCTTTGTGAAGGCAGGCGCAGCTGCTAGAAGCCAGTCTGAGTCCGTGTGCCCTCATGGCCACATCTTGTGAAGACAGACAGATGATGAAAGGATCATTCAGATGAGGGTTGCTGCCATCATACTAATTGGCTGCTTAATTGTCTTGTCTTCTGTCTTGGGGTCCAGGAGCCTCAGTAGGCAGTCGGCTCTGATGAGGCCATATTGACACACACACACACAGTTGTCATTAACGCTAGTCGTAATGGATCCAAATGTGCGCATGTACTTAAAAGCACATACACAGTTTATCTTGTTCTCACTGGATGGTTCAGCAGCATTCAAATGAGTGGGGTCTGCCATCCGTGACCACAGTTGTTTTCTCCTTCTCGCACGTCCGCCATCTGCTCCGGAGCTGCATGTGAGAGAAACAACATGGCACCATGTGGCACAGTGTGGCAGAGCTCGGTGCGGCACTGGGCGGCACGGCACGGCTCGCTTTGGTGGAGGTTGAGTGTTGAGTTGAGTGTGTGCGCACATTGTGCCTGTACCGCCTGGCACACAGTGTGGTGGAAAGTTGCCCTCTATTACGCATGCCTGCATGTGCCGGAGCACTGGCAAATTTCATGACCCACACGCACACACACACACACATGCTTGTCACAGGAAATTAAAAACCTGTGTAGTCGGCATGCAAACTACAGCAACTAGAGACTCGCATATCACACACTGTCGACAGCAAGTGGAACAAGTATAACCAAGTCTTGGGTTCTCTATCAGCTCTCCACTGACTTGCACCAAAAAACTAAATTGTGAATCTACATCAGTCCTCTGTTTTAAAAAAAAAAAAAAAAAAAAAAATTGCTTTTAGTCACATCTCCACCTCACTCTCACACTTTTCTCTGTCCCTTTAACAAATGTCGCTGTTCAGTTTAGCCCTACTTTACATCTGGGTCCTTGTTTGTGCACATTATGGGTGTTCTCGATGGAATTATTGCATTTTCAGTGGCCGTGCAAACCCACAGAACACATGTCCTGTATATGCAGTGCAGAGATCGGGTTGGGTGTGCCTGTCAGAAGGCCAGAATGACTTTAGGCTACAGTGAAGTGTGCTTTCAATTATGCTTTGCAATCTCCACAATTTGGGTATGTGCTGCTGTCAGTGTAGTTCACTACTCTATTGTAACTATTTTGTTATATTATTGTTAAGTTCTTCACAATGGAAATTGCCAGTTTTTTGCAGTCTGACAAGCTGATAAAAAGACCAGGGGGGGGGTTTAAGTTATCAGTGTGATATGCATTAACTGGCAGGTGTGTGTGTGTGTCTGTTTGAGTCGCTCACTGATGCAGGGGGCCACAGGTGAGCGGCTCTGCTGGTAGCCCTTGGCGCAGCGGTTGCAGGTTATGCCGGTGACACCGTCCTTGCAGGGGCACTGGCCTGTGGTCTGGTTGCACGTCTTGCCTGCTGCGCCCACAGGGTGGCAGTCACAGGCTGGGTGGGGGAGGTGGGGAAGAGAGAAAGCATATTCAATATATTAATTTATTAATCTTGATTACACACACACAAGACAGCAGCTTATTGCCTGGATTTCACAGTTTTGGCAGGATAGTCAGGGAAAGCTTGTAATCTTCTGTTTTTGCCTGCAGACAACAGATCTGCACTAGGACTGAATGTTTGGCTCAGGACTTCAATCTCCCAGAGTGAGGCAGCTCTTTTTCTCTCTACCTCTGTGCATGGGATTCCCTGAATACTGCAAAGCAGAAACACTGAGTGTGTGTACGTGTTTGCGTGAAAGACTGATTCAGTGAGTGAGAGAAAGCAGAGGACAGCGGGGGCCAGGTAAAACAACAGAGAGATGGACAGGTGAATGGGGTGATGCATGTGATGCATCACAGTCAGGAGACCCAAGAAAAGCACACTGTGCCGTCCTCTCTCCTCTCTGTTCGTTTCCGCTCTCCTAATGCCGTGTGCGCTCTGGTGCCTGCCTGGTGACACACGCTCTGCTGTTTCATCACTTCCCGAAAGTTCAGTCGATGCCCAGCAAATGCCAACAGCAACAAGCAACGCTCCGGTCACCTCGCTCTGGCAAGGCTTTTATGAGTTTTTCTGGTTCTAGGCGATTTTTTCAAGCCCCCTTAAGCAACATGAGGCTTTTTTTTTTTTTTTTTTTTTTTTTTCAAGAGCTGTTAAATACAAGAGCTGGCGTGTTGGTATTAGACCCTCTGACAAAACTTTACAAGATGTTAGAGAGGATGAGAGGGAGAGGAGGAAAGCTACATATCGGGGAGTGAGAACTGAGGGAGAGGATGAGACAGGAAGAGAGAGAGAGTGAGAGACACAGCGCTTCAGTTTAGTCCAAACAGAGCCTCTGGTGTGCTCAACAGCATAAACAACAGTGAATCTAACCAAACTGTGGACACTCTGACGCTACTAGAAAACAGACATTTGTTCTTAAAGTAATAAACACATACTTAACATTTCACAGCAAGCCAGCCAGACAAACACATCAGTGACATAAAAACAAATGCAAGACTTTAAAAACTTCTTGAGCAGTCCTCAGGAGTGACTGGCTTTCACCTCGACATTCCCTGTCCAGAATACAACAAGTCAGAGTAACGTCAAGTATCCTTTCCTATCTACTATCTACCTACTGACATGCTGCCAATGATACAGAAAACAACTGTGAAATTTAAGGTGAACCTTCTGCCTTTTCCCCTTATTTTTAATCTAATTCTTTGGAAAGCAGGCACAGCCAAGTGCAAAATTACTAAAGCAAACTTTAAGTGACTCGACTGTAACACGATAGCTGTAATTGTCCAAGCTTATCAAGAAAAGACAAGAAAGGCCAAAATTACACTTGGGGAGGGAAAAACCCTGTAACCCAACAGTTTGTTACAGGGTTTGCCAGAGAAAGGCAGCTGCTAACACGCCACAGTTTCTTCCCACCACTTGTCGGAACTGTGAATGTGTTTATTTGCGCTGGACATTTTTTAGCTGCTACAACAGAAGAAAGCCAGAGGACCCTACCACCTGTTGACTGGGCGAAGGGAGGGTTTAAACGCCCAGATCTGACCTAAGAGTGATCGTGTGCGTCTGGCGGTGGGGTGGGGAGGGATTAACTGCCGCTAAGATCTTCAGAAACATGTTTGCCTTTTTCCGGCAAAGCCACTCGGCCCACAGGTGTGGCTGCACTCTGTTTGAAGCTGGGCACAGAGATTTAAATCTGATGCTTTCACGTGTGAAATCCTCGCCATTTCAGTCACGCAGGCCCAACCAGGAAACTCAAGCTTTAAAGACGCTTGGTAAGAGTTTGTGACTGACCTAGAGGGAAGCCACATGTGCATATGGCAGGGTAAGCTGGATGCCAGAGGTCAAGTCAACAAAGGTCTCCGGACTGTCTGTTGCTCTGTGCCAACCATGTAACGTATATCCTCACCTCCACACCCCCACCCTCATTCATCAGCCAGAGCTAGACCTCCTGCCACTGTTCCCAGGTGCTACAGTGTCCATGGACCATTTGTGAATTTCTGGCATTCCTGGAGTTTGTGTCCTTAGGCGTGCTAATGAAACCCAGCTGATTAGAGCACTGACACACTGATACTAAACCCTGATCTATAGATTTGCTGTTGATAATGAAGTCATTGTTTTGACCTCAACCTGACTTCAACTGAAAAGCAAACAAGCTAGTTTTAACAAAATTAAATAATCCTACGCTGATTTGATTTGAGGGTTTAATTACTCTTGTCTGTGAGATGGTGTGTCCAGCGTCAAAGCACATCTGGGATAAACCCCCTGTTATTTGATCTGTCTGACACAAGTCTGGTGTTGGTGTGTCGTGCCTGTCAAGACATGTGGTACAGCGGGAGGAACGACAAGCCATTGTTTCCCGGCTGATCTCTGAACAGCACAGACAATCAACTGGATCCAGTCGGTATGAATAAGATGTGAGTAATGGATGATGTTCTCGCTTCCCTCTAAACTGTCATAGGCTGTTAAGACCTCTGAGTTTACTGTCAATGACCATATTGTTCAGTAAACATCCAGCAAACACCAGATCTGAATGGGCTGTGAGGGGCAGGGGGGTGGGTGAAGTTTTATGTGCAGGGGCTCGGGCCAGTTAAGAAGCAGTAAAAACGTCCTCAGATGTTGATGACTTTTCAAGCCTGTGCGACTGCAGACGTGACAGGCACCGTGTTGGGATTTGTAGTCCTTTGACAGGCGTTTGCTTAGTTTAACTGATTCATGTTGCTGTGTGCGTGTGTGTGTGTGCGCGTGTGTGTGTGTGTGTGTGCGTGTGCGTGTGCGTGTGTGTGTGTGTATGGTCTAAGTACTTGCAAGGACTGCTCTTTGTCTGCAGTTGTTTGGCAGCTGCCACATTTGGAGAAGAGGGTGTTATTTGTACTGTTAGTTGGAAATATGCTTTTTTAACACTCAGTTCTGTTCTGCTGGCTGGTTCATTGTGAAAATAAATGTAAGTGTTAAAATGTGCACATTTTACTGGATGAGTTCATTTAGCATTATTTCAGCATTTGAATTTATAATGCTTTGTTGAAGGACTGATAATTGACAAAAAAGCAGCTCCAGACTGTTAATCTCAGAGTAAAATCTCGATTGTGTGCCTTTACTCGGCCAAGTTCACAGGTCCTGGCTAAACTTGATACTAATGATACAAAAGTAGTGTAGCATCAGATTTTCATGCTGCTACAGGCAAAGCACGCTATTATTCACCTAAAATTACCTTAGTAAATTAGTTTGCAGTGTATTCTGACAGCAAATATCCTCTGTGCTGCAAAAATGACAATATTTGAGACATGAAGTCAATATGGTTTATATTGGCTGGCGTTGCTTCACATAGGCTATGGCCTCATTATTAATGCCTTTTATCAATGTTCCTTGTGGTCAATGGATACCAGCAGTACGACTTGGACTCACATAAAAACCTTGTATTTTTTAAGACCTCATACACTGCAGCCAGGCCAGTGACTGCCATGTTTCTTTAATTTTGCTGACTGTTTTAATACTTGTGACATTGTAAAGAGCTTGTGGAGAGGCTGGTGCTGCAGAACTGGAGTGCTGCAGATTCACTTTGAATTTGGGACTTAACAAGGAAGACAGAGTGTGTTTGGCGTACGTGGGAGGTTAAGTGGTGGAGGGGATGGAGGCAGGAGTGAGGTGGTTTCTCGTCTTCGTATACTCCTCAGATTGTGGACTGACACCCATCTAGAGCAGGTTTAATTAGAAACAGACATGGCCCATTCATCCTCTCAGAGCTGCACTGCGCCCCCCCTCAGCCCTCCCCACTCCTGTCTCGGCTTTAGAAAACACCTGTATTTTATTGTTGTAACTCCATTTCAGAGGTGACACTCAGCCCCCTTCAGCCATACCGCACCTCTGACCTTTATCTTGACCCTGACACAGGAGGCTAAACATGGGGAGGAGCAAAAAAAAAAATCATGCCTGAAAATAAAATCAGGGAAGCCACAGTAAGAGAAAAAGACAAAATCAAAGGTTTTAAAAGTAGTGAGTCATGGTGAGAGAAGGCAGAAGTCGGCAGGAAGAGGAGATGGTGGTTATAAACGAATCATGGGAAATGGAGATGAAAAAAGAGAGCGAGGGCTGAGGCAAGGGAAAATGACGGCTTCTAGAAGGCTGTGAAATTGCTCTGATCAATCATGGAGCGAGCTGCTCAGCAGAGGCTTTTTGGACGTTTACTTTCATTTCCGTCACATCTGGGGCCTTTGTGAGGGAGGGTGATAAACTGTTTACCACCTGATCACGAGGCTTTGATAAGGACAGATTGTCGTGTCAGGGAGCTGGCGCGTGTGTGAACGCGCTGCGTGTCCAGGTATTGCAGGAAATGGAAGATGAGGGAACAATTTGCACAGAGGGACACACACATTTCAGCGCTGATCTCCTGTCAGGATCGAGGCGGATCTCTTTCTGTCAGTGTTTCGGTGCAGCAACAGGTCAAATGACTTAAGTTTAAAGGTATGTGACCAAGTCACAGTGGAGTTTTTGCCATTATATGATGAATGGCTCCACATCTCAGCACAACTAACATGGGCAACCGCGGCCTGATATCATGCCATTTCAAACCTCGTGGTGTTGGGTTACAGCTTTGGGTCGGCTGCAGAAGGAAAACTGAGAGGAAGCCAGTGGGAGATTCTCGCCATGAAATTTCAGGCAAAAAGATCTTCACGGCTATGAGCGTTGGCAGGTCTCACCAATGCCGCTTTTTCAATGTTCTGGAAGTGATTCTTTACCTACATCAGGATCAACAGGATGAAAAACACTCCCTCTCTGCGATTGATTTGAATATTTTCCTCAGCAACAAGCACAGGAAACTGGTGTTATTTTTGAGTCCGGCGAGAGGAGCGAAATGCTTCCAGCATAATACCAGGCTGAAAAATATTCACTGCAAATGTGAAATAATAAAGGGGTCAAATGCATTTTTCCATGAGAAATGCCTCGGTCATGTGATAATATGATGTGGTGTGTGTGGTATGGGGAAACATTTGGTGGAGTGGCCAGAAAAGTTTCAGGCGTAGTATCAATTTGTTTCTCTCTGCTATGGTATGGCAAGTCAGACATGCTGATTCTTTTTATTGAAAGTTACCATGACCGCGTATGTTTCCGATCATAACTTGTTACTCCCTTTACACTTTCTCAGAAATGACATGATTACACAAGTATTAGCAGGGTTAGAACATCTCAATCTGCTTTTGTTTGAACATTTTGTAAACATTTAGCGCAGCCTATTGCCACATGAAAAGTCAAACTGAGCTTAAAGTAATAATCTGTGACATTTTCATATAAATAAATGTTCATTTTGCTACTCTATTACTGATTGATGTGACACAAAAGTGATCCTTGTTCATGAACACTTTTGTATTAGTTAGTGTAAACACAGAGAGGTTAGTAATTCTTTCCAAGAAAAATACTTGTGTTTCATGTTTCTGACAGCAGAAGAAGAACTGGGTAGTTGGTACTTTATGAACAGTCATCGCCATCATGGACGTAGAAACAAGCGCCACCTAGAGACACTCGAACTTTATCGATGGGAAATCCAAGGAAAACCAGATCAGAGTTTCTGCCTGATTGCAAAGAATCTCACAAATGTTGCTTCGATAAAACTCACGCCATAAACACTCAATTGTGTGACTTCCTGTTTTGACTCTTACCTTTGCAGGCTCGGCGGTGAGTGATGGGTCTGGCCATGTCTCTGTAAAAGCCCTCCTTACAGTAGTGGCAGTGGCGTCCGGCAGTGTTGTGGCGGCAGTTCATGCAGACGCCTCCGCTCTTCCTCCCTGACAGCTTGTACAGCTCCATGTTGAATCGACAGCGGCGCGCATGAAGGTTACAGTTGCACGCTGCAGAGGGAAGAGGAGAGTAAGCAAAGGTGAGTACAGGACAAGTGCACAAGTGTACAATATATTTATCTAACAGAGTTTAAATGCATGTTGGCCTAGATGAAATGTTCACAAAGGAGTATGTGTTGCACTAAAACATATGCTTATTACCACGTAGAGAGCTGAGAGATTTTCCAGTAAAGCAGGATTAGTTTATAATCTACACTGCGGCTGTGTGCTTGGCTGCTATTCCAGAACTCATCAATCAAAAGTGATATTTACAGAGCTCATTTTCTCCATTTCATAATTAATGAATTCAGCTCCTCTCAGCCCATTAGTTATTAATCACGGGAAAGAGAGACATTAATTTCATGAATCACTGATGAGTAAAGACTCCGAAGATCTATTAAAAGCGAGACTGATTCAGATAAAGGAGTGGGCTCGAGCTGGCTGTCTTCTAAATGAGGCGAGCAAGAATATATGGGACATGTGAAGTGAGGTTATATCTCTTCACAGTTTCTCTAAGTTCCACTTGAAATCCAACTGGTTCCTTCATGTCTCTTTGGCTCACAAGCCTTTCCTTTGACTCCTCCATATAAGACCACATCCACCAGCCCTGACATTATTGATAAACTCTGTTCACTCTCTACATGTGGGGTTTACATTTGAGAAGTATAATGAGAAAGCTGCCCTTCTTGTTTGTGTAACAGAGTTTGATCCAGACCCTTGTGTGGTTAAATCAGATTCAGACCTGGGACCTGAAGACTTGGCCGTGGCTTCAATGACGACTGTAGCAGAGCTTAACTTAGTTCAAAGTAATCCGCAGATAAATTAGAAAGGGGTAAACAATAGCAGAGCTGTTTGACCAAAAATGTCAACAGTTATGGCAAAGGAAGATTATTAGGGGATCACAACAGAAGGTGATATTAATTAACTTTAATCCGATGGGAGTGTGTTTGAGAAAATAGATTTCACTCGCACTAGATGTTTAGAATAGAATAAGACACAACAAAGGGGAATAAGTAAAGACAGACTGGCTGAGGAACTGGGAAGCTTTTATGTGTGTTTTTGTGTGCAACATAGAGTGTAGGGAGTTACAGAGTATCAGAATAAAAGAGGCCTAAAACTGACAATGTTGATTGAGATATTTTAAATGCTACATGCACGTTGCGTATACTCTGTCTTCTGTCCTTTCTCATAGTCACAGAGAGTGAAAGTGATGCAATCAAACTAATAGTGACGAGCAACTTATCGGCTTTATTTTGTATTTTGTTAGATGAATTCATTACAGGTTCAACATTTTCTTGCTGAGGTGGATGAGAAGATTGATAGGTGTTGATATCTGTATACTAAATATGAAGCTACGGGCAGCGATGTCCCCATGTTTCCAGTCTTTATGCTGAGCTGAGTTGACTGGCTGCTGGCTGTCCCTTCATATTCACTGTACAAACACAAAGTGGTATCAATCATCTCATCAAACTCTTGGCAAGAAAGCAAATAAGCAAATGAATCAGCAATAGAACATTACAACATTAGACTACAGTATCTACTTAGTCAGGACATGAACATCTTTTAATTGGGCAGTTTCTAAGTATTTTAGCTTTGAAGAGCCTTTTTTTATGAAAGATTAACTATCAGATGCTGCAGACAAGCAAATATGTTTTCTAGTAATATTTGAAAACTCCTCTGTAGCTGACGCATGCCTGGAGCGCTGTTGAGTGTTGTGCAGTTACATGAAGCTCAGTGATCTGTACGGTCTTAAATGAGCTTTTTGCAGTTGATCAAGAATGACTGTTAATGGCACCGTGGTTGGCTCCGTCACAGGAGGAGAGTCACTTGAATACATACGTCAAGTCAATAAGTTCTATGCGAGCTGTGAGCGATACGCAACCCTCCGTCCACACTGAAAGGGAAGCCTGGCACCAGGTTGGGAAAGAGGCCCGCTTTTCCCTGGTCGCAGACCCTGGAAAAAGGGGGGAGCACATTCCCAGACTGTTTCCCAATTCCTTCTGGTTATTATGCAGCCCAATTTGTATGGAATTCGACTGTTAATGAAATACTGTTTTATGTATGAATACATAAGAGACAATGCTGGATCTTTTGGTGTGTTCTCATGAACTGGTGAGCCCTAGAGGAGGATTGACCTTTGACCCTAGAGAATTGTTCAAAGAGGATATGTAGGCAGTGTCAAGGGCATGGCAATGTAGGATACTGAGGGACGCCTGCAAACAGAGTGAGTTAAAAGCCTTTTATCTTGACTGTGGTCTTGTGCTCTATCCCTGCTTTAACTGAAAACAACACTAAATTGAGGACATATTGACTGAGTAATTGGTTCATCCTCTGTGTGCATGTATGTGTGTGTTTTTGTGTTTGTACCTAGTGTGTAGCTGCATATGAACAACTAAACAGCCTGTCCGACTTCTTTTAAGGGGAATGTGACAAAGAACACACCAGCTCCGGTGGCTGGTGCTGCTGGGAGCGAGGGGGGGGGCTTGCAGGTGGGGGACTGTGATTATGATCAAGCGTCTCAAACACACACACAGCTGTGAGCACTTGTGTCCATTAACACCTTGTAGCAGAACATGAAAGCGATGGATCACATTTTCTCCTCGGCTGAAGTAGCGGCGGCCCTCTTACGGCATCCTCTCGATTTACTGCTATGCAACAAGATCAGCCAACAAAGTCTGAGGTGAGGGAGGATCTGCTCAAGTGTGGAGAATGTAAAGGAAGGTGCAGAGTTTAACCTTTAAATGATTTAACATGTGTAGCTGGGATGACTGGGAACGACTTTAACGACAGCCAGACTTTTCGTGACAGACAAAGTGGGAGAAAGAGTGTCTGCAGGAAAGACGAGAGCAAGAGCTTCAGTGAAGATGTGTGAGCTCAGGTTAATGAATGAGAACAATTAATAAGCAAAAAGTGCTGATGGCCTCAAGTGAGTGTGTGTATGTGTACCTTTTTTGTGTGTGTGTGTTTTCTATGGTCTTCATGCTGCATGCAGTTAACTTCAGCTCAGAGCTGCAGCTGCCAAAGGATCCTGGAATGTTTATGGGTTTGTTTTGAAGTGCTTGTACACACACACACACACACACACACACACACACACACACACACACACACACACACACACACACACACCCAACCTGCCACCCCCACCACCGCTGCACCCCCCCACCCAAATTAGGCTCAGCGGGGATAACTGAACACTGTTGAAGGCCATTTTTCAATTCATTAACACATCAAAGCCTCCGCAAAAACACTCACTAATTCTTATCTGTTGCAGGAGAAAACAGACATTTTGGCGCGTAGAGGAGTTCTGTGGGTGGTGGAAAGTCAGCAGAGAAACTGTGATCATTGAGTGAATGCGGTTCCTTTATGGGTCAGTGTCCAATTCAAGGATGCGTAAAGCTTGGTTCCTCATGTTGTCGTGGAAATCGCACAACAAACACAAGCTACAGGCTTGGCAAACACAGAGATGCTGAGACAAAAATAAAGGAGGGGATGGAGGGAGAGGAGCAAGAAACCCCTTGGAAAATGTTAGAGTAGAGAATTGTTTCACCACTTTGTCATCAAAATGACCAGCACCAAATGCAAATGTTGGCGAAATGAACTGCTACACTAAGTGTTTTTGCTTTCACCCATAGTTTGTGATCGAGGTGGGACGCTGTTCTTTTAGAAACAGGAAAAATTGGGGGAATAATTCAGGTAAGGTAGATCGACAGAAGAACACCACACTGTTCTAGTTCAGCTTTCATAACAGGTGCCTCAACAAGTAAATGTGCTCTGAACAAGCTCACAGACTGTTCTGTCAAGCGTGCTATGACAAATTGGCCCGTAAAGACTGCGCTCAACAAATAAAATGCAAGGGTGTTTGTGGAGTGCACCGCCTCTCTGTTCCCCTCCATATGTCAGGGATAAATCTAACCTCATTTTTCCTTCAGCTCGACCAAAGCCAAGCCGGTAAGCACAGCCAATTGATTTTGGATGCCTGTGCAAAACCCAAATCCCATGGCTAAAATTGGTCCTTGAAAATTGGAGGACTGCTCTCCCACCACCACCTTTCCCCTCTTGGCCCAGGCTGCGGTCCAGACCTGCTGCAGGCCCCCTTGGGTGCCCTCTCTGCCTGGCCAAACAGGCTCAGCTATATGGGCTCCTGCCATCATGTGTGTGCGTGTATGGTGTGTGTGTGTGTGTGTGTGTTTGGGCTGAGTTCCGCCTGGCTGCTCCAGCCACCTGCTCAGGGCACCGGGGGAACACCCGGTTAATTAGCTCCTCATTAGAGCCAAGGCAGTGTACAGTGTGGATAAACACACACATGCTCTCACACATTTATGCACCCACACACACCAGAGACGGCTGCTTCAAGAGGCAGTAACCGCTCACAAAACGATAAGGATCAAGTGGCAGAAAGATCTGAAAAAGAAGTTCAGCAGAACTGAGACATAAACAGATGTAAAGGCTGCTGGGTCTGTACACTGTAATGAGCTGTGGACAACAAGCTGAGACAAAGATTTAAGAACTCCAAGCTGAGAACTAACAGGAAACTACAACTCCTGTAGCCCTGCTGTGTGCATTACATGGACCGTGCTATGCTCCAACATCTTTGTAACCAAGCCACTTTAGCCTCACTTGCTCTTTCCTTCTCTTCCACAGACATATCTTTCACTTTTAGCTTTGACACCATGTCCCAACCCTCCCCTCCCTCCACTGGTTTCTGCGGTTAGCCTCACGCCGTGGGCTTAAGAGGCAGCTCTTGGGAGCCCTTTTGAACTGAGAGTCCCCTTAATTCCTCTCCCACCCCTCCCCTAAGCCTCCTTCTCTCTTCCTCTCTCCTTTTACTTTCAGGAATCCCTATCTCAAATACTCTCACTGGTTGCCTCTCCCTCTTTTTGCTTGTTTCCTACCCCATCCCTTTTCTCTTGTCCATCTTTTCCTCCATCTCTCCTTCTCTCTCTGGATGGCATCAGGCAGGGAAAGATTTTAACGAGATTAGGCTGGAGGGTTGCCAGGTTGGGGGGCCT